ACGAGATGGTGCAGGCGAATCGGTATAAGCGGACTCAGGGCAGGATTGCCCGGCAAGCAACGTTAATTTCCATTTGGGTATTGATCGCGATTGCTGCTTACCAGCTGTATCAACAGATGGAAGCGATGGCAACGATGGTTCAATACCAGTTGCACTTGCTGGTTCCCATTGCCCTGGTCGTCGTTGGTTTTTGGGTAGCCTATCGACTGATTAACTGGCCTACGTTCGCGGACTTTTTGATCGCGGTCGAGGCAGAAATGAATAAGGTCACTTGGCCTTCCAAGGCTGAGTTGTGGCGAAGTGTCATCGTGGTGATCGCGTTGATCTTCATCCTGGCCATGCTGTTGTTTGCGTTCGACTTGTTGTGGATCACCCTGTTTAAAACGATCGGGTTGATTCCTCCAGATCCGCAGACTCCGCCGACGTAGTCGCTCGGTTTGTAGCGGCTTGTTGGCAGCGGCCCTTTGGTTGCCAGGTGCATTTCGCAATAGATAGTTCGGTCCTTGCGGCCGGATAAGGTTGAGTATCCGTGTCAAGTTCCCCTGACAATTCGTTTGATCCTCAGAAGGACCCCGAGTCGGGTATCCCTGCGGACGCAGAAAATACCGCAGGAGAAGCAGCGACCCCGGAAGCTGCTGCGGATGATGCTGCGTCAGTGGAAGAGCCAGAATCGGCTGACGAGGAAAACGCGTCGGGCGAAGCTGCGGAAGATCAACCTGAATCCGACGATGTCGCTCCCGCTGAAGAGTCTGTCGAGGAAGCAGAGCCTGCTGAGTCAAAGCCAGCTCCTGCGGCCAGCGGCAAGAAGCGTGGGCCGATCGAAGAAATCAGTGATGAAGAGGAAGAAGCTGCGGAGGCAGCTGACAAGGAGTGGTACATCCTCAAGGTTCAAAGCAATCGCGAAAAGTCGATTAGCAATAACCTGATCCGCCGCGTCAAGATGGCGGGCCTCGAGGATTACTTCGGCGAGATTCTTGTTCCTACCGAGGATTTGGTGGAATACAAGAACGGCAAGAAGAAAGTTACCAAGCAGAAGCTCTATCCAGGCTACATCGTCGTGCATATGGCAATCAACGACGAAACGTGGTTTCTGGTTCGTGAGACCGGTGGCATTGGTGACTTTACCGGCGCAGCTGGCAAGCCAGTGCCGATGTTGCCGCACGAAGTGGATCGCATCGTCAAGAAGACGCGCAAGCCCGAAGAAGG